CTTACGGGCAAACTCCACATCAAAAATAGTGCCGATAGTCCTGACATCAGATATTCTAACACACAACCTCTATCGTCGATCTTCCTTCATTGCAACCAGGTGACTGTCACTTCTCCAACATATTATGTCACTCATCTAGCAAAAGTCATGTCAATAACCTCTATTTGTGCAATATTGAAATGGTAGAATCATTTCAATTGAGTTAGATCTTGTGGTTTTTACCCTTTCAGATTTTTCATATAAAAATCTATGGTGTCCTGTCTACTAGTTTTTTTTTTGTGTTGATTATCGTATAGTGTTAAGACACTAATATATTACTCTACCACCACAAATTCTCTCAGTACGTAATATTCCTAAAGGGATAAGTGAAACATGCTCAGTGGTACACCAATTTACTCCTCAAAGTGCTTCGTGCACATTTGAGTCCATGATGATTACCAAACCCGAAATGATCATCAACGAGATCATTAAGGCCATCACAACTTTATAATAAGCAAAAAAAAGTTGGTGAGTGAAAGACTCGATATCCAATAGAATACGATCAAGTGCCATATTATAAATAATACTCAGTGCAAAAATTCAACACTTTCAATGGAAATGATAATCCTAAGAAGCACCTGACCTGACCCAATAGAAAGTAACTTGCGATAATGATGAGGGTGTTGCTGCCTTGATTTCTCTATAATTACATCAATAGGTTGGCATTGATATCTTTCAAATGTTGTCCCAATCTTTCAACTAATTCCAATAAGACCTTTGTAAAATTAAAATTATATTTGTGAAAGCTTGGTTAGCGCCATTGGTAAGACTATAATTGCTATTCTTGCTTCGGGGAAATGAAGAAAAGACAAATAAGTAATTGGATATATTACTTGGTGAAATATGAACATTGATCTTTATTGTTTAATAACTCTGCCATTATATGATTTCTCACAAAATCACTTTTATTTCTATTTATTTAGTTCGTGATGACAACCAATTTTGATCAATGAATTAACCAAATGAACAGTCTTGCTCTCACTCAGTTCTATATTACTTACGTATTTCAGAAAGCGATGGAATGATATATTATTAAGATTTATTATTGTCGTTCATCCTATTCCTGTAAATTTTCTTCTTCACGACGATCTACCTAACAAAATATGCTTTATATTTATTATTGTCGTTCATCCTATTCCTGTAAATTTACTTCTTCACGACGATCTACCTAACTAACAGTGTTTTTTCAGCTAGGAAGAGGAGCAAATGCGAGAGTTATAATTTGATGGAGTATTGTCAACAAAATATGCCCATCCTTCAAACCTTCTGAGGGCATAAGCTAGCGTCATTTTTAACTTCATACGTTTAAAAGGGATAATTAGATATTCAGTTGGCTTGATTGAACCTAAAACAATAATGAAATTTAATGCGAGGCCTTGGTGACAAGTCTCTGGATAGCCATTATAGTAGGGACTAAGAAGAGTTTTTAAATCCTTCGCAGTTATCAACTCATTGTAAATCAAGTATCTGACACACAATTGTAAATCAAGTATCTGACATACAAAATTAGCTTGGTTGATCCGACTTATTATCACAAGTTGGTTTTGAGCTCATGAAATAATTTCAATATGCTATGATATATCAAATTTCAAGACTTTATAAAAGGAAGGTAGACTTCCTAACACAATTGGCTAAATAAATGGCTCATATAGATGAGAGTTTGTTTAACTTGTAGCTTAGGCTCGCTTACTCTTAGAGTCGAGGCAAATATTGGATTACATAGATTTCTAATGGTTTTGCTGGGAAGATTCATCTTTTTATCATTTGCCTGTTAAATAAGTCATAGTAACAACCAAACCACAATAAAAGTAAAATTTGAAATCTTAAAATAACATCGCGATATATTTTAAATTTTTTTAGTATGATTCTAAATTAATTCATATTTCATACAACCCTTTTATCTTTTCAAAAATTTAATTCTATTATATTTTTGTATTTTGAAAGTGTAGGATGAGATATCAGATATTGATTATTATTCTTTATCTTTCATTCATGTATAATGGACCTATAAAATACTCTTATAATGAAGCTGTGGTGTGAAGCCAAAGTTTGTTTAGCTAAGTCCACTATTAATGCTAGGAACATTAGAGTTATAAGAAGTTTTTGTTGCTGAAGTCATGGCTATTGCTGTACTAGTTCAAGGTGTATGTGTTCAAGGCTGTGCAAGATGTTTCAAACTGTTGAATTAGATACATGTAAACATTTGCTTTTGCATCTTGAGGATTACTGATTTCGTCGCTATTGTCAAACTTCATTAGAAAAGAGTCTTTATATTTGAAAACTAACTCATGATTGAGCACCAACAATGAAAAAGACTAATCAAACACATTATTTATTATACTGTTAGCACTAGAAAGACATGATGATGAAGCATTCTTGTTTGGAGGAACGTTGCCTAGGAGGTAGAGGTGAAGAGAAAATGATAAATTGTGAGTCAAATAATTACGACTGTGTGGCTAGCCATATCTCCAGATGCAGAGCTAGCAACAAATATTCCTACTTGAAATAAGGGTCTTTTTAGGGTGGCTGCAGCTTTTTAAAAATATGGTTTTAAAATTGTGGTGGAGAAAACAACTTCTTAGAAAGCTGCATTATGAATTATAAATATATATTCTTTTAAAAAATTCAGACAACAATTTTCTGTCAGTCACCGCGCTTTAATATATCAAGTTAAAAAAAATAGCTTCCCACCATAGAAATTTATAGAAGACAACAAGAAAGTGGTTCCCCAAATGAAACTTTGATGGTGGTTTGAAATGCAAAGTACGCAAAAAGCTGTCTTGAACAGACGCTAAGTATGAAATCTTAAAAGTGTGAAAAGAATAGCTTGTGACATAAAATAGTAGTTTTGGGTTCAACATAACCAAGCCCAAGCTCCATAGAAGTAGGGACTTAGAATCCTCTTCAAAAGTATACATTAAGCCTTGAAAACAACGAAAGAGAAATGCTTAATAAAAGAAGTTATGAATTATTAGTTGTTATAGAGGTGAAGAAAATGCCATTTAAAGCTTATCGTTTGTTAATATTGCTCAAAATAGACTCATGCAAGTTCTACGAGTTGAGCATTAGGGTGTGACATTTGAATCTCGAGCCCAAAGATTTGTCATTAAATGATCCTAATGAAAAGAAAAATATAAAGGTTAGATCCACATAGAGAAAATTCTGTTAAAAGTTTACATTGCGTAACAAATGATTCATAGTCCATGAGGCCTACTTTAGTCAAGATTTGTCAAGGGTGGATTTCATTAAAGAAAGCTCCTGCTGACAATTATCATGATGGTCTATATGTTGGAGTCTTTTATGCGATCTCATCATCAATTAGCTTCAACCTTTTAGGTAAAAGTCTATTTTAATTTCAATTTTTATATTGAAAAATATGATTACATCTCACAAAAAACTAGAAATCCTATGGAGATTGTCTAGAAATATGTGTAAAGAGAAGAAGAAAAAGAGAATATGGGGATTGTAGTTGTCTACTTTGTGGAACACATCTATGAATAATCACTCAACATTAACGTGGAGCCTTTATCATGCTATTCATGAAAAATAAACCTATGCTAATTACAAGTCAAATTCTAGAGCCAAATTTGCAGACCTTGTAGGTGGACGCATCATCAAATTTAAGTTAGCAGGGTCAAAATTTGGTTGGCTCTCATTCCATGTAAATTAACAAATTTTAAATAAACTCTATGATCTTCGCAAGTTGAGGGATCATCAAATTAAATTCAGTAGGATAATACTACAGTTAGCTTGTAGTCCCTATTAGAATTAACAAAATTCAAATGGAGAAAATTTACAAACAACTTGGGTGGAGGGGTCATCAAATCCAAACTAGTAGGGAGAAAACTTGGACATTCTAAGGAGGATTGGTCATGATGTTGCAAATCCTAATTATTCATTGTCAAAGAATTGGTTGCAAGATTGAACCTAATTGAGAAGGCTCTTTTGTTATCTTGAAAGTATACCAAAGCGGATCCTATCCACTTATCAACCTAATAAGTTAGCACTCATGCCTCCTTACCGAAGGTCAATATTCGAAATACTACACATAATATCATCTACAAACTGACCCAAGCAAGAAGCGTTGTGCTTAAATTCTCTTCCCAAAAATGGGTTCTTATATTTATTTGGGTTGACATTTTACTTCATACTGAGATTCTCAATATATGCAAAAATAAAAAGCCAGTTTTCAAACAAAATTTATGCAGATTAGCATTTCCAAGGTATCATGGGAGTCTCTTTAAGATGTAGTTTTTTTTTTTAAGCATTACATTTAAAGATTGGTGGAATCACTCATGTATGATAGGGATGCTTTTTACAAGTTTCATATTTAAAGATTACCAAAAATTCCCTGCATGATCAGGGACTTTTTTATATATTTATTTGGGTTAATATCATGTTTAATTCCAAGATCAACAAATAAATAATTTTAAATTATGTTATTGAGTTTTTTTTTTTTCAGTATATGAGCAAAAAGATCAATTTCCAAAGGATATCTACACAAGACAGTTCTTAATAGTCTAAAGTTTATTTCATTGGTCCATTAAGATCTTGAAAGCCTTAAAAGAGCATTCTAAATCTGTAAGCTTCAACTAGTCAATACGTTCTTCAAAATCAAGATATGAAATAAGTCCAAGATTAGCCTATAATGAAAATCATTATTTGCCATAGTTTAATTTGTACTTTGCATCAGCATCCTTTAACATTTCCAGAGATCTATAAAATCAAACTTTCAGTGTGATGCCGAAAAATCATTGTAGATTTGCAGTGTCAGCCAGTTTGTAATCTTCTTTGTGTGCATCATATTTATTGGAGGCTTTTGTTGCCCTTAATATCAATTCACATTGAAAATGATGGTTATTGATCATTGTATGGCGCAAATGGGGTGCATCGCATGAGTCAAAATCATCTAACCATCACTGGTTTCATGAAATGATATGTGTCGGTGTATCTGAAGTGTTAAAATTATCAAGAAATGACACTGTGATCGATTTGATCGAAATTGGACAACGAATATCACATCTTGCAAGTTCTGCTTGAAACATCTCAATTGGAACTAAAATTGCTAAATAGTTGCCTATTTTGTAAATGGATTGAGTTAACATGCTATAAATTTAAAATTTATTTGAAAAGGACACTAATATTGTCTGGGTTTCCGCTAAAAAAAAGTACAAAAAGTCATATTGTCTCAAGTGATGACATAATATTCGAAGTGTATGAACAACGAGAATTTGTGAGAATCCTATTTGAGCGGTACAGTGATGAAATATTCTTGCTTAGTTATTACAACTTCACTTATTTTAGATGTCATGACTTTGAAGCCATCATTGCACATGGATGACATATCTTTCCTTTTATGTCAGCTTACTTTTCCCTGGAGAGAGTCATGGGTATTTTAAGCTATCCTTAATTATTCCATTCAATCTTTGAGCAAATGTTGGTACTATCAGCCTTGCTCATTCTGTCACATTTAACACTTAACATTGAAGCTTAAAAAAGTAAATTTTGTTGCTTGATACAGAACTTTGTTCATATTACTTTTTTTGCTGATTACAACATCAAAAACTTTGGAGACCAAATGCAGTAGAGAGTATAAATATTGGGCTCATTGTTGCTTGAATTTTGTGTTATTTTTAGCATCCACACTATATTTTAAGGTTTCAGTGTAGTCAGGATCGCTTTCTTGTGGATGTATGTTATTGGTTTTACTATACAAAATCAAAATATTACTTATAAAGAATTTATTACTAATAATCAAAATTTGTTCATGATTGTTTTCAAAACTCGCAAACTAAAGCGATGAATTTTTTGTTATAAAAAATTTCTTTATTCTCCAGTCATCTCCCTACTGTGTTCAAGCTTAATTAATGGCTAAGTTTGTAGTCCTAAACATCTCCGTGACTTGCTCACAAATTCTTTGAATCATTGAGTTTACTACTCTCTTTTTCTATTCATGAATAGATTGCTCTTGTAGCTACCATAAGTAGTCGGGATAATTGTAGCCATGGTAGCAATTGTTGTCATTGTCATTGGGATTAATATTCATTTGATTGCTATTGGTTAACATTGATTATCCTTTAGTCTCTCAGCACACTTGTTGCTACCACTAACCTTGGCCCTACTCGTACTCATTTCAAATTTTTTTCTCTTTTAAGAAGGAATATGAACGTATCCTGCAGCACTTCTAGCGAACTACCTCTTCCTCATGCTGCTTCCTCTCATTTAGCTGTGGTGGTTTATTTTGGTACATGTTGGTCTTAGGTTATTGCGCTTCTTCTTACTCGAAATATAACTCACAATTATTTTCCTCTCCATGTTAAACTTTGCTGATAGATTTCTCTTTTCTATCTACGGAAAAAATATATCTTCATCTCTCATCCTCATTAAATTTAGATGATGTCAAATATGTTTTGCACTTACCCTTAAAACTAATATTGATAATATTATTTTCTTATCAATTTCAAAATTGCTCAGTAAACTTTTATCCTGCCATTTGTCTTTCAATATTTCAACTCATAA